AAACATGTCACACTCTCTGCCAGTTGTGTGTTCCATGGCAAAGGAGGAGGAGTTCTTTGTAAGCATGGCCTGTGGTTTGTGAAATTTGGGATTTTGGATGCCCTATTTGAGCTATCTCAGGTATTATTTTTACAGATATTACAGTGCCCCCCCCCTCCCCAAATCCAAGAACTGGAAGGCGTATTAGATATTCAGCATCTGTCAGGAAAAAAAATAAAAAAATCATTGAGAATTTTGACCTTCCAAGTCCCTAACAAGTAGTGAAAAGAAAAATATAAGTTTTAAAAATTCCTCCTAAAAATGTTAGGTTTAGTGATTCCAGATGATCCTACAATGATTTATATGAAATAGATACTCATTCATCACTTTTTTGCATTACAGAAACAACAGCAGTGGAAATTACAGTGAAATTTATTCTACTGCTGTCTTGCAATAATATTGAGAATTGTGTTTATTTCATCTTGTAAATGGCTCCATTCTGCACTTGTTTAGATTACACAGGTATAATATGCAAGGAAAAAGGACAAGATTGCTGCATTATTTTACAATGCTACTTGCTTTTTTCTCCTGAGAGGTTGTAATGTACTTTTAAATAATCTATGCACAGCTACTGTGAGTCAATCAAAAAATGTTGTGCTGTCCTGCTTAGTCCATAGACAACAAGATTCAGGCATGTTAAAATCTAAATCAAAGGTTAATTCATGCTTGGTTATTTGACAGAGCTAAAACATAGTAATTAATTTTCTTTATGAGTTAAACATGCTGAGCATAATAACCAATATATTACTGAAATTTGGGGTTTATTCTCCATTAGCTCTGACAAGAGAGGGACCAGGACAAGAGGTGTTGTGTTGGATGTTTTCTGTGGATTCTGCCTTGTGCTTTAAACATTTAATGTGGCTCATTAGCACAAAGCTTGGCATTAATAATGGTGGGGAGAATGATACATTTACAGGGGAATATTTACAACTTTGTGTCAGTTCACACTTCCATTTTCCAGTAGCAAATCCATGTTTGTGCTTGATGCTTGTCCATAGATGGCAGCAGCTCCAACTCTTTATAGGCTGCAATTAAGGCCAGAAAGTTGTGCAGGGAAAGTTTAGCAGTTTCTGCAGGCTCTGATGTCACTGCACACCCCTTGGAGAGGCATACAGCAAAGAGGTGGGGAAGAAACGTGGCAATGGAATTATCTTTCAAATAACTGGAAGGCTTTTCCATCCTGAACCCAGAGGTGAAACTTACCCTTCAGGATTTTTGATTAACACCAGTTGAAAGGAACATTTAAGGGTCTATTTATAACTTATAATCACGGTTGTGTTTGAAGCTAAATGGCAAAACCTGTAGTTTAATAATATCAAGTGGGTGCTGTTCAAATCTTAATTTTGATATACCTGCCTGAAACAAACAGTCTCTATTGGCTTAAATTTGGACTAAGGACTAAGTAAGCGAAACACAAAGATTAATGATCACCCCCTGCCCTAAGCTGTACCATGGAAAGCCTGCTACAAAGCAGCTCTAAGGGGCAGCTGCTGCTGGGAGGTGAGTGAGTGTGTGTAACCATAAAGCCTAATAGGAATGAGGCACAGTTCCTTATTTTTTAGAAGTTTTTCTGAAACATAATCTATGTATCGTGTTGAAAGATGAAAGCAACTTTGTGGGGTTGTAGCTGCTGTCATCTTTATTGTCTGAAGAATTGAATTTAAACATCTGGACTCTGCTGTGCTTTGCGCTGAACAAATGGAAGCATTTTCAGGCTTAGCAGTTTTGTGCTCAAATGTCAGTGACCCACTTCTGGTTCCTTCAGTCCTTTGAGTTTGCTCCTGCAAACCTCCTGCTCTGCTCCCAGGGTGGTGGTTTCTTTGTTATTGATGAGCTTTGGGCTGCTCCTGGGAGGGAATATTCCTCCTTCCCAGCTTCAGGCAGCCAGCTGGGCTGGCTGCTATGGGGGATTGCCTATGTGTGCAAAGCAGAGACACTGTGACTATTTGGATGATTTAATCTGTCCCTAAATTGTTTAAAATCTGTTAACTTGCTCCCTCCTCAGCATCTCAGCCTCTTCCTAAGCAGTATTAGGGTGCTCCATGCATTTCTGTGTGAGTAGGCTAATTGTTCCAGCTCAAGTTCTGCACTGCTTGAAATAAAAAAAAAGGATGTTGTGGGTCATGTGAAAGTCAATCTAGATGCTAGAAAACCTCTCATCTTCCTACTGGTCTCCCAAAGCTGAACCTTCCCACTTTAGTCTCTCAGACTTTCTGATCTGATTTGTTTCTGTTTATTTTCCTTGAACATCAGCTGTCAACTGTTCTCTCATCTGCCTGTTCAAAGAGGATGTAACCATCTTCCCTCCTTTATGGATCTGTGAGGTCCTGAGGAGCAGCTCAGTGTTAGGTTGTAAATAGTCAAAGGCCACCTGGGAATGCAGGAGATTGCTGCCTTTATGGCTGGCTGGGGACACTTAGCTGCAAAATAATATCTCTGGAGCTTTTGTTCTCCAAGAAGGCAACATGAAAGATATCATGTCCATATCACACGAGAGCGAGAGGCATCCTGTATAAATTTATTTTAAATTTTGCAGTTGCCTAAAGTTGCTAGGAAAGCAGATGGATAATGATAGCCCTGGGGACTTATTTCCTGATTTTTCAATGAGATATTTTTTGACTGAAAGAGTTTAATATAGCATAGAAAATGTCATTTAATTACAACTTGTTGTTGGTACCCAATGAGACGGACCCAAGCTCTTAAATTAGCCAGCTAAAGTAGGTGCCTAAAGCTGATGGTGTGAATATCCAATGGAAAAGACTGTGACAGGCAGGAGATGTATTTCAGGCATGGAAAGGGCAGGGCAATGGCAAAGGTGGTGAGGGAAGAGCATCTGCTCCGATGCTCCCCCACAGTCTGAGGGTAGAGAGATCTGCCTGGCAGAGCTCCCTGAGCCCCTCTGCCCCCTGTCCCTGTCACTGGGGGGGACACAAACCCCTGGCTGCCTCCAGGCCACCCCTTCTTCCTCTGTGCCCTGCCAGCAGCCTGAGAAGGGCTCTGCAGCAGGCAGGTGGCACTGGGGAGGACCTGCCAGCCCCTCTGGCACGGTGGAGAGGGTCTGGCAGCCAGCAGGGCCTTGCAGGAGCCCCCCAGACCAAGCAGGAGCCCTGGGGCTGTGCAGGGGACCAGGGCAGATTGTCCCAGTCCTCTTCTGCCTGCCACGGATGCAGAGGATGGCACAGATGGGTTGGTTTGAACCTCACACTTCCAAATCCCTCATAATCCATCTGAGTGGTGGTGGGGGGAATGTCCAGTCCTCCAAATTGCCTAACTGCAAGACAGAGGTAGCTATCAGACCACAAAAATCCCCTGCATTGTCAGCGTGGCAATGAAAGTGGTCTGAAATGCTGAAATGCTTAAAAGATTTTGTAAGTAGTGACAGGTAAAGCTGACCAAGCTTCCTGCAGGGAAGGCAAGATGTGGGAGAGCAGGGCTGTCCTCCCTGGCAGAACATTTTCACATCTGTCATTTGTTCAGACTCGTCCAGGACTCGGTGACAGGAGGCTCTCAGCCTGAGAGCTGGAGATAAGATAAACAAGGACTGTCACAGGAGTTGCTGCTCTGCACAGGCTGCCTCGGAACTGAAACTGTGTGGAGAGGTCTGAACAAAACCACAAATGAGACTTATAAAGACTGAACTCCCTAAAAAAATTGCAACATGATAATTAACTGTACTTTGTGGAACATTATTACTTGAAATGATTGATGCTGCCAGCTAGGAAACCACAGTCACAGGTGTCCCTGCCCATGGCAAGGACTAGATAATGTTCAAAGTGCCTTCCAACCCAACTCATTTCATGATTCTGTGATATGGTGATGTAATCCCATAATATTTTAATTGAGTTTTTGTGAAAATAGGGAGTTTTCTTTCCACAATGCAATGGGTTAAAGCTGAGCAGGTAGATGTCAGTGTGTTGGACTGAGCTCTGAAATAGCATTTTTCTCTGTCAGTTGTGTTTCTGAAGGCATTAAAGCACAGCTGGGAATGGGACGTGGCCTGGCAGTGCATAAACAAGGGCTCTTCCTGACTATGCATGAAAACCATCAATTCCCCAGAATGGCAGCTTGCTTACCACATAAAACACATTTGCTGATGCTCCTAGAAAATATTTCCCCTGGGCTTGTTAATGGGACATCTACACGTGGTGACACAGCCCAATTTCTGTTCATTTGTTTACCTGCTTGTGGAAACACTAACTGGAAATGTCAGGGTTTTTCCTCCAGGGCTGTCAGTCTCGCAGTCCCTCTCCAGGCCTTGCGTTTCTGATTCAGTGGTTGGGTCAATTAGTGCTCATACCGCCACTAATTGCATTGCTCCAAGAGCTACAGGAAAAATCAGCTGGGACAGAGCAAGAATCATCCTAGGAGCTCTGTGTGATCAGGACAGTTTGGAGTTTCACCACTGATTCATTTTCCTGCCAGCCTTTGTTTGTGGCTCCCTGAGACCAAGTTTGCTCTGAAGGAGGGTCCCTTCAGTGGCTGCATCTTGCGTGGAGGGTGTGACATTTTCATAAGCATCTGACTGGAGAAATCACATTCATTAGTGGGGCAGTCAGCCATGGGTAACAATAAGGAAGAATTTACGTGCCAGAATGGGTAGAATGGGAAGCATAGGAAGAGTGGCACCAGCTAATTTTGCTGCCATCCTGGTTCTTAGCTGTATTAAGGCTGCAATCATTAAAAAACTGGGCTGCTTCTAATTAGCTGAGAGTGACCTGGGCCTCATTAGTGCCCATGTCCAATAGATAATTGAGCTATTTTCTTGCATCCAGTCACACAATGTGGAAAAACCAAAAGAGTGTTATGAAGGCCGGATGAGTGCTCAGCATGTGAGATTTTTATTTTTATAGAGAGGAATAATAGCTTCAGTTTTATTTTCTAGTTCAATGCTCAGGGGGAATGTATAGAAATACAAAATGAACATCAACAAAATAGTGCAGGGAGCAGAAAGCCCTGAATATAGGAAATAACCTTTTTTTTTTTTTTTTTCCCTAATGCTGAAATACCAGGACAGGCTAATGAAAACTGGTTTTCTGACAACGCTGAGTTACGAGATGGCAGCACCTGTTGGTGAGTAACAGCCAGGGGCCTAGGACAGCTCCTTTCCAGTGCAAGTGATTTGTCTGAAGTACCAGTTTAATCTGAGATAAACAGGCTGGTTTCCTTAGGATAAAGTATGAAAGAATGGAATAGAATATTTTCCTTAAAAATATATATAAAATGTTATCACATTTTAGAGGGATTGAAATAAAGAATATGTAGTAAAAAAACCCCAAGGTTTTTCTTTTCCTTCAGGTCAGGTAATCTTGATTTGAAGTGTTGAAAAGCAAGGAGTTGTCATCTACAAGGCAAAGGTTTATGATGATATGACTGGAGGGAAATCTGTCTGGGGACAAACAGAGATGCATGAGAAAAAAAGCAGAGATAAACATTGACAGGTTTTCTTATTAAGAAAAATTTCTATTTTAATATACAGAGACTTTATGGAACTGTTTTCCTCTCCTGTACATCCCCTACCCCCAAGATGCACAACACAATCTTTCCTAGTCATATAAGTACCCCAGACCCATTTCCTAGCTATTTTTCCTGAGGCTAAAATGTACCAGCAATGGAAGGTTATTTATCATGACTGTTGTAATTGGACCCAATTGGGAAAATGAGATAACTTCAGTGAATTACAGAGCTGCAAATGGAAGCTGCAGCCACTGTTTTGCTGGGCATGTCTAATAACCTGCAGCCATTCACCACGAGTTCCAAAGGCCAAGCTCATTAGCACAAAGGCAGGTGTTTGTGCATTTCCATTTGTTAAATTAAAATGATCACAGTCATTTTGCTAATAGTGCAATGTGCAAATGTAGGCCATCTCAGATGAGCAGTTTGAGAAGAGAACATTTTTTTAAAAGTGAGACGTGAACTTCACCAATCTAATTGTTCGTTATTAAGATAAAGATATTTCTATGGTAAATTATCAGCTCAGTAAGGTGTGAAATACTGGTCTACTTTAACATCTCTTATTCCCATTACAGGACTTCAGTGAAAATATTCTTGTGGGCTCTGGTTTGCACTTTTTCAAGCCATGGCTGAGGGAGTGCTGAAGTGTGCAGGGAGCAGAAGGTCCAGCCCAGTGTGGAAGGGTTGGCTGGAGCCTGGTTTGGATGTCAGTGCAAACAGTGCCACCCTGGTAAGTCCAAAACACTTCTTGAAAGGTGAGCCAGGAAAGGAGAAGGGTCTGGAAGACCTGAGATATGTTACCATGCCCCTCCCTCCCCCCTGCTGCTGGGGATGCTCCCACAGCAAGGACCTTGCTGTGCTGGGTGCCCTGTGCACAGGTCGGGACATGCTGCATGATTAATTGTCTGCATGATTAATGTCTGCAGATGGAGGCTAAACAGGGATCCCAGAGTCACAGAGCTGCTAAGGCTGGAAAAGACCTCGGAGGTAATCGAGTCCAAGCATTAACCCAGCACCACTGTGCTCACCACTAAACCATATCCCCAGGTGCCACATCCATATGCTTTTAGAACACTTCCAGGAATAATGATTCCACCACTTCCCTGCTGCACCCTGAGTAGGTTTAGCTTTCTTAGTTAGCTTTTTTTTCCCTTGACTTGTTGTTTCCCTGTTTGTTTCCCTGAAAATGGAAAATATCTTCATTTTCTAATTTTGATAATTCTAGATGAAATTGTGCAAATGGCTCCTCAGACTTGACAAAAGACCTGTGGGGTAATGCAGTGAAGCTTACTCTTTAACAAAATTACCACAAATTGTGCTAAGAGCATCATAGCTTCAACTAATGTAAAATAAGCGAAGGTTTTCTGAAAAGTAGTGCATCCATTTAATGCTTATCTGGAAAACTAAGCATACTTAAATGTATAATAAATAAAAACAAAGAACTTTTGGCATTGTCTCACCTTTTTCCCTTGACATGACTTTATTATCTATTATAACCAGGAAAAATCTTTGTATTCCAAAGAGAAGGTGTTTTTTAAAAATACACGTGAATAACATAAATATTACTATGGTGCAAATACTCATTCAATTATCTTTTTATCTTATTTTTTATGGTTTTGGTATAAGTTTCTGTTTAATAGAACTCTGAAGCTCAGGTTGCAATTTCATGTCAGGTTCAGTGTTAGCCCCTTTACTGGTAAAAAGAGAAAATCAATCTGCTTTTGCAATGTAAATGTAGAGACATAGAATTGAATTAGTTGATATTTCTCAACATCTGAGATAACATAAATAGGACCATAATTTTCCTTGTCACTTTCATGTATAAGTGCAGGAGAGGTCCAGGCAGGAATTCTTACTTATGTATCCCTTACATCTTCAAAGTGCATGATTTGTGTGCAGTCATAAAGAGTGGACAGCTCATAATTTAATTATTTAATCCATAAAATCCATTTAAAAAAAGAAGGAAGAATAAAGTTAATGCCTTGTTTACAATGACTTTATGATAACTCTCATGTACTCATGCATTCATTAACAGAAAACAGGTTTCTATAAGGGCCCAATTGTGTTTTGTTTCAATCAACTCTGAAAGGATAATAAAAAAATAGGAAAAACAAAGATAAACCAAATAATAAAAATTAAGTAAAAAGGGTTCTGAAGCCACATTCTTGGGCTTAAAGAAGCATATTCTTACTTTTTATTGTTCCTGAGTTAAAAATTTACTAATGCTCTTTAAATTTAAGAACTGTTCAGTTGATTACACACGACTTGACTGTGTAAACTTTTGAGTTAGAAAAGGTACTTAAAGCATAATAAGAACTCATTAGTAGCATTAAAGGAAAATAGAAAAAAGTTTGTATTTAGTAGTCATGACTCTAAGAAAAGAATTGTTCCACAAACCATCCTGGCAGAAAAAGGAGCCAGGAAAGCACAGGCCTGAAGTCAGTTGAAATTCAGCGTCTCTGTTCCACCAGCAGGGAACCTCTGCCTCCCAGAGGGAACTTTCATGCAGGAGGGTAAAGCTGAATTCTCCCAGAGTAAAGGAGGATGTGCCCCCATCCAGTGAGGTTCATGCTGGGCATGAAGTGCAGGTAAAATCAGTCTTTTTATTGGCCTGGGCTGTCTGCTGGGCACACACAGGAATGCAGAATGCCAAAAGAGAAGAAAAAAAAAATCAGCATCTGTTTTGCCTGGTGATAACACTCTTATTTTATATCATGCAATATATAATGTATATATTTACATTTTTCATTAGCAATTCAAGTGAGAATTGGTTGTTAAATTAGTTGCAAGTGCTGACATATAAGGGCAGATGATTTGTATTTTCTTAGAGATGTGTATGTAGCATTTTCTGAAGGAGGTGGCTTTGGTACTGTTATGCATGTGAACAGCCTGGAAATTCCAAGCTTTTATCTTTTAGAGAAATGTATTACTGTTATGGGCAAAATGGATCTAAATATCACAAACTTTTATGTATCTGTCTGAATCCCAGCTGAGAGGCTAGCTGTGGGGTATCTCTAAAATAAAAATGTTTAATATTCACTTTTTGTCATCAAACATTTACTTTAGTGCTATTAAGTTTTGTCTTTTTAAACCATGATGCACCCTTCAGTAGGAGGATGAGGCCCTACTCTCTTATTGTCAGCTGTGAATGCAACTCATTGTTAAAGTCTGTGTGATAAATTTATTTCAACTTTGTCTCCTAAAGGGGTGTCATTTTGCATCTTTTCTGCACTGAACATTTTCACTGAGGACCATGTCACAAGGGAGGTATAAAACACAAGTATAAAATCAGGTATTTGGATTACAAGGTAAATATTTTTGGCTGGTATTTATTATTACTACTTAGCTGTAGTGATGAAGCAAAGAGACACTGATAATTGCAAATTTGAAGAGTCTCTGTTTTGAAAAGGCATTTCTATCAGATAGACTGGTAGAAAAATATTCATCAATCATTTAGGTCTGTCTCAGGAATTTATTAACTTTTCCATAAGCTGTATATTTCTGCCTAATTATATCATGAATAAACAGCTGCAATAAACAGTGAGATTCAATCTTCTGAATAAGCACATAACTACATTCTTCACTATTTTCTGGTTTTTGACAGCTTAGCAGTTAAACTGGATGAACATGGAATATAGTACATGAAAATGGATGAGAAAGAAAGTGATAATGTAGCATATTTTCTCCACTTCCTTCTGAAACAGTGTAAAGCAATCAGTTCTAAAAACCTCTGTCCATGTATTAGTTAATCAATACAAATGTTCAGCCTGCTCCAAGATATTTTAACACCTGTCAGAGCTAGCTCAGCAGTCATTGTTCAAAGCTTACATGGAAGCAAAAACCACAACAGAAAACCTTTCCCATCTCCAGGGGATTATCTCTAGGGAGGAAAAAAGAGAGAGTGATTCTGGTTACTAGAAACGAGGGGGGGAACAGAGCTCCAATTCTCAGATGATCCAATTATGATTAGAAAAACTGTGTAAAAAAAAAAAAAAGTAGAGCTTGGAGAGTGAGGAATTTAATCATGATTATCTGCCTCTTGTGAGGCAGTGTGAAAATCTGCCAAACCCACCTTTGCTTAGTTACCCTGAAGTGTGGGAGGGAAGGGGAAGCAAATGCAAAATGATGCACCGGGGAGGCGCCGTGATAGAGAACAACAAGGGAAATAATTTCCTCTCATACTGGGAAAAAGATTCCTTTTCAAGACCTGTGATATTATTAATGAGGTATGAAACTCTAGCAAAGAGCTTTGGCTCTTGTGTTGCTACCACTGCTCCTTGGAGCAGTAGAATACAGTTACATTTGCCATGGGGTTAACAACAGATCCCTGACTCGTATACACCATTCCCCTTCCTCTTATACACATGTTTTATGTCACATATAAATACTTGTATTTCATATTTACTGTCTATTACAATAAATATATTAGTTGTCAGGCTTATTTTCTCCTCTCATTCAAATCACATTGGGCTCAAGCATGACAAACAAGTGTGATGCATATTTTCTGGAGGTTTAAAAACATATCTGAAATCTGTCCAGCTCTGTTGTTAAAAGTGTAAGTTAAATGTACCAAGTGATATTTGGCCTTCAGAAATGGAAGTGGGGAGGGTTGCCTTGACACGGTGGACCTGAATTAACATACTATACTGTTTTATACATGAATGAATAAATAGTATATTAACAAACTGCTTTGTACATATGTATTTCTGCCTTTATTCATTACTTCTAAGGAACCTGGGGATTGTGGTCTGACTGCACACAAGGTAGGTGCAGGTACAGGTAGGTACAAGCACCACAGGCACCACCCAGGACCCTTCCCTGGGCTCTCAGGGATGCAGGTTTCCCTCATCCTTGTGGTCGCTCCTTCTAGGAGACTACTGCTCATGTCTTGGTGCCTTCTGTGAAGAGGACACTTGCCTGCTACAGAAGCAAAGGGATGTTGTATTTATCCTGCATTTCTTTCACCAAGTGGAACAAGACATGACATTTTTCAAGCTCCTCCTCGCCGTTGCTGTTGATTCAGCCACTTGTCCATGGCAGTTCCTGTGCCAGCAGGCAGAGCTGGGCTGGGACAAGCAGGGACACAGTGTGTGCCCCAGCCATATCCATCTGTTTGCACTGAGTGACCCAGAGTCACTTCTTCAGCTCCACCTGCATCTAGCTGAAATAATGAAGTTCCCCTATTCCCAAACCTGCCTCCTGAGACCAATTTTTCTGTGGAACTGCCAGGGCTGGAGCAGCTCTGCCCTTGGCCTGCCCTGCTGGATGTGACACCTCTGTCTGCATCTTGGATTGGGGGTATGTTGGATGTTGTGAAAGAAAAGGCTAAAGGAGAAATACCATTGCCTGCCCACTCCTGGGGAAGTTACGAATCCAGGAGAGTGTGGACTATGAAAGCCATTAATATTCTGCAGAACCTCACCCAGGCAGCAGCATACTTTTTTTCTGGCTATGTGCCAGACAGGCAATGAAGTGCTCTAAGGGCAGTGATCCTGATAATGAGTTCTTCATCACCTGTGAGGTGCTAATCCTGATCCTTTAGAAGGGTTTTTTTTCTTAAATTATTATTATACGTCTCTACCCATATATTCATGCCTTAGTGTGTGTATCTGTGTCTGTGTACTCCCACCAGCAGACAGCTCCAGCAAGCCCAGCCAGGCCAGATCAGTGCTGAGCCCAGGTGATTGCTGGCAGTGACCCCATGGTCCTGCTACTCGTGCAGCATCTCTGCTTGTTAATAGGTCTGCTCCCTTGCTTAGAGTCACTTGTTCAAGCCATGGACAAATTTATGGATCATTAGATTTATGCATAGATTATGTGGTGATGAAAAGCACCCTACTGACAGTACTGAGAGCTGATGCACATTATCCTGCCATGAGCAACACAAGCAGCAACCCTGCAGGCAATTTCTTGCAAAACTAGAGATTTCCTTATGGTACCTGAAGAGTTTTTTTGGTGAGGATTATTTTCCACACTGGTCCAGTAGGAGGTTACATGAGTTCAGAGCTATGGAAACCTCAAGAGTTTTCTTCCACTGCACAGCAATGACATGAATTATTTTATGACATTGCCATCGGGGTCTCTTCCTTAGATAGTGAATTTCGCAATCAAACTTATAGCTAGCAAGGAAAAAAAAAAAGAAAAACCAAAATCAGGAGAACTCTATAATATCATACTCATTGTTTCCTAATGAACAATTTGATCACTGTTTGGGAGACAAAGAGAGCAAACCAGCATGTCTCATTATAGCGCTGTATCTATCAGTAGTAAATATGTATACTGTACAGAATGCCTCTTATTCTATTTTCATAAGGCTGCAGGAGACCTAGAAAACATAGCAGGAAGGCCATCAGAATGACCATAAAATGAAATGGCATCTGTTTGTAGCACGTACTAGGTGGACTGCTGTGTTGGAAAACTGATGACTGCAGTAAGGATCTAACAGGAGCCTACAAAATTGTCAGCAGGTTGAGGAAGTGAATTGTGAATCATCAAATTTTCTATAAAGCATAGATTTTAGAAAATCTCTTCTTGGAGACATAAATTTCCCCATGAAAATGTTAGCCAATTGTTTTTACCAGGAGGGGCTGTTCTTCCCAACAGGTAATTAAATTACAGAACTGATTAATAAGCTGGCAGAAAGTAAAAAATTAATTTAAAAATAAATTAATTCATGCCAATAAATAGGATGATGTGGCTACAAGCATATATATTTCTGATAGAGTATCTATATATAAAATCCTTTTATATATTGATATATGTGATGTAACATATTTAAATATATACATTCTTTTTCAGAATGAGGATATATTCTTAGTTGTGTTGTATTAAAACTGATTCCATATCTGGGCAAAATTAAAGCAAAAAAATCATTTTTAAGGTGTGGCAAATGGAGTTTCTCTGGCACAAACTACAAAGTTGCACTTTTGCTGTTAGGATGATGTTTGCCTGGCTGCTCCACACTGCTCTGTAGTGTGAGGCTCTTGCTGCTTTGATGAAAATCTGAGAGCACCAAATTAGAGTCTGCATTAGTTATGTAGGTAAAAAAAAGTGCTGAAAATGTACAGAGATGCCAACACAGTGTGTGCCTGCTCATCCTTTCCCTAGAAAAAATATACTCATATAGATCTTCATCCTCCACAAAATGACAGGACAGCCCCACTTGCCAGAACTATTTTCCTGTAACTGTGCTGTGGCATTCACACAGGCTCCTTCTGTGACAGTAATATGGAAGTTGTCTCCATTGCAACTGTACACAAAATGACATTTTTCCCACCTAGGCAATCGGATTTAGCAGTTTCCTGAAACATGCTCTCAAAATTATCTGTTTTAGTGGTTTTGCCCCAGAAGGAAAGGTGCTGTGAACAGCAGCTGGACTGGGCCTGCTGAGCCCTGGCACACCTGGTGATGCTGCCCCTGTGGACCCTGCAGGATCCAGGCTGGGTAAGGAGTCATAGCTCATCACCTGGGTCATCACAGCACACAAAGTTGTTTGTTTTGGGAGCAGGTGCTCAGTATTTCCCTCACAACCTCACTGTGCCTGTGGAAAATGATTAAGGTCTCAGTATCATAAAATATCAAGTGTTTATTGGGAATTTGAGAGCAATGGAGAAATCTAAATCATAAACCTGTTTCAAACATCAGCTTTGCTGATGCTGAGCAGGTCTTGTCTCTCTCTCACCTGACAGGCTCCACCAGGATGTACCTTTGAGTGGAGAGGAGCAGCTCTAAGAAAGCCAAGTACTGAAGATGTGCAGGTAAAGATGGTTACAAAAGTCTGAGGAATGCAAACCCTTGTTTGTAGGGAAATAGCAGAAATAGTGTAAAATTCAAGAAGCTTTGCTAGAATTAAAAAATATCTTGGAGCTACTGGCCAGTAATTAATCAAAAATGATGCTTTAGCACAAACTGATGCTGCTGCAGGTTTTCTGCTGCTGGCCTGTGTCTCTGTTTATTGCTGAAGTCTTCTCTTGCCACTGACTCTTCTAGAGAGGTCTGGGAGGAGGCTGCAGCTAAAGTGTGCCAGCTAATGGAACTCCTGTGAGGAGGGGACCCAGGTGTGGAAGCTGGCACATAGCAAATACTTGCCTAAAAATGTGCTGAACTTGCTGTATGAAGAACTTCTGGTTTTGAGCAGATTTTACATATTTGAATTTTGTCAAGCATAAATTCAGTGTTTAAAATTTAATCTAATTATCCCAGTTTCTTATATTTATAGTGCTCTTTGTGACATTCTGCAATTAAGTAGCCATTAATAAACATTCCCATCAGTGTTGCATTAGAACAGGTCATCATAAGTCAGTTTAAGCAAGTGTAGAAGGCTCAGAGTAAATAAATTTTTAAAAATGTTAGCAAATAAATAAAAATTAAGCTATTCCATGTACTTCTGTTCTCACTTCTATGGGAACGCCTTGATAATTGAGCTACATATCATTATTAGAGATGCAATTACTTGTAATTTCCACCTTTAAAAGCAAGCCTTTGTTCCAAAAACAATATATAGATGGATTGTGTCTTGTTGTACAAGTTGTGAATTGCCTTTAGTTTTGTAATCTCAGCCATCACATGAAAAATGCTTTTTCACTTTCAAGGTAGAGAGGCCAATCTGTGAGCTCTGTTACACGAAGGATGAGTTGGCAGCAGTCCACCAGGATCCTTTTAGTTAGTGTGGATTTCCAGAGATGCAGTTCAAGACAGAATTTGTCATATAACACAAAATAGATGGTAAAATCATTTTGTGTAGAAAGCAAATAGGAAATGTGGCTCTTAATCAATTTAGATACTAAAATCTTCAGAGCTCGTCCAAAGATTATCTGGATTTACATTGTGTTTTTTATGGAAAGGAATAAAACCCTGCTTATTTTTTGGCACAAGAAAACTTTTCTTCATGATGCTTAAAGTTGTCATGGTATATACTACACCCATGAAGTCAAGGGGAATTTCTTCATCAATAATCATCAGCTCTGTATCACTGACTGCTGCACCCTGTGAATTTCAGCTTTATGGAGCCCATGTATAACATTATTCCACATTAGTACTACTGTGTTGCTATGAAAGTTTCGCAATAAATTGCAAGTTTATTAGAATCCATTTGAGAATAAGAGTAAATCACAGAAAAAAAATAAGGAAACACAAGTCAGCAGATTTTTTATGTAGATGAAGGAACTACTTGTGCTGTCATACACACATAGAGTGTATATCATTACCTTTCCCACTGAGAGAAAATACTGTTCAGATTAAGCCTGCTCTGTAAATGCTTTTATTTTTTTACAAGTTATGAATGGCTAAAAATAGGACTCAATAATGAAATTGCTGACAGGCCTTAACTACAGCACAAGAATGCAATAGTGTAATACAGTTGTGCCAAGCTACATTATGCTGCTGCAGTGATGAATTTGGGGCTGGTTTTGCTGATGTTCTGCAGAAACCTCCGTGGGACTGGTGATTCCACAGCTGAGAGAATGAGAGGGGACATAACTGAGCGAGCTCTGAGCAGGAGTGCAGGGCACTGCAGGACCCCTCTGTGGCACAGGATCACTGCACTGCTTGATAATGTAATCACACGGCACTAGGACACCTGTGTATTATTAATTACTGGCTAAGGGTGAGTGGTTCTTGCTAAGCCTCATTTCTACAGCTCCCAAACTGCTCTAACTCAACATCTAGGAACTTCTTGCTTGCAGGTAATCTTGAGGAACACAGCCTGCTCTAAACACTCTCCTGTTTACTTCAGCTGATGGGGCATCAGCTGCAGCAAAAGCCCAAAGCTATGAAATTATTTTCTGGAGCAAACACAAATTTGACCAGACCTGAGATGGCTCTCTATGATAAAACCCAAATTGGTTTCCAGCAGAGTCAAAAGATGACTTGCATTGCTCTGCCCACCCAGCCTATTTAAAGCAAATATTAAGGCAGACAAGGATTTTTCTTAAAATCTGGAAGTTGGCAGTAGGGGTAGATGGTTTTTGTAGGACCCTTCCAACTGAACTATTCTATTCCATTCCTGCACAGTGTTAATCTGTGTTAAAAATAGTTGATTTGCACATGACCAAATGAGATTAAAGAATATAATTGCTGGTGTTACTAAAAACGTAATCCACTGGAAAAAGTCTTGCAACAACTGCATTGTCATTTTCTTCTGTTACCTATTCTAATGCACATTTATATGTCTTGTTTCATTATTTTAATAGGTATATACCTAGCTATATTTCAGGTTTTTTGTAAATATTTGAGATTTTGACCTTCATTCATCTTTAGAGCATGACCAAATTCTTAATTAAAAAAAAAAAAAAAAAAGATTGTGATATCAGACCTGGCAATATTACTCTGCTCTCCAAGTGAACCAGCATCATTAGCAAAAATCTAAAGGGGCTGACTCTCTTTAATACCATTGAAAGTGTGAGTAGAATAGCTATGATGCAATTATCCTAATTAAAGCTAATTAACACACATTTATGCAAGGTAAAAAGGCCATGACAATAGGAGAATACAGCAGAGACACAAGAAGCAAAAGTTCAGATCCTCTCAGCCTGTGTAAACTGCTGTATCTTCCTTCGAGACACTGGAGTTATGCAGATGAGTGCCAACTGAGGCTTAGCTTTGTGTCAGTTATTGAAGCAATGATTCCCCAGCCATTAACGTTCCTGTTATCAGTTTCCTAGTCTTTCAGAAATTAATATGTATTTGTGTGACAATGAGATGCTTTTTGTTCCATACTCTGCTATTCTAGAAAGTTTTATTCACACATTTAAAATTGAAATAATGTCCTGTGATTAGGTGACCAACTACAAAGAACAGATAATTAATAAAAGTAGAAAGTTTGAAGCTAATGTTGGCTTTAAAGCACTTACCTATGTGCTTATCAGGCAGTTACAAGTGTGAATATAATTGTCATAACCAGAATCATCTCTCTGTAATTCACAAGCAGAAAAATGCATTAGATTACAGGAAACAGTGTGTAAAACCATCTGGATGAAACTTATGTGTATCTGAATATAAATGGTGATAACTTTCTCTTGGTGTTGGCAAGTGAAAGAGCGTTGGATTTGAAGCTTCTTGAAATGGAGAAATTTCAAGAGATTGCTTAATTTTATAAAGGGTTTGTGCACACACATGCATGCACACACACATTTTTTTGGCAAGTTCTCCTGAGCTGTCTCCATATTCCATCTGGCAGGGTTCAAGCCATGATCCTTTACTTTTTTTCGTGCTGCAGTATTGTAGTTTGTTAGCTCAAAACTGTAACTCAAAACTCAAAAACTGTAGTAGTGATGCCAACACAGACGGTGTCCTGCCAGTTTTTTGCAATTTTCCCTTAACCCTGAGATGCACACCATGTGTGAGAGGTGGATATGCAGCAAGACACTCCCACAAAACTCCAGGGAGTCTCTTAATGATATTGCACTTTATTAAGTGATTTGCTGAGTTTGGCTTTAATAAAGCAGCTCGGTATAGCAAGCAAATGTCTGAGATACATTTGCAGCAAATACTTTTAAAATATACTGAGCTTGTGAAAGAACATCGATATGACTGAGGAGAAATGTTGGCTGAGCTGGAGAGAAAAAATCTGACATGTTGTGCTACCCTGCCCATTGCGAAAGCAGTTGGTCTTTGGACCTCATTATGAACCTGTTTTTTTTTTTTTTTTCCTATCAAAAAGACTTTAGTAGAATTCAGAGACTGAAACAAAAGACTTGTGTGTAATGGGCATTGCCTGTTCTAACACTCTTTCCTTCTATGTAGTAAGAAAGTTTTAGTGTCAGTTGTCCCACAACGTTGGAAATCTCATAAAAGGTTGTTTGATAATTTCCCAAAACCAAAGCCAGCATTGATTATTTTTAAATACATTTCAAAAAACATCAGCCAAACTCATGTTAGATTTCTTGTTTAATAGGCCAGAGATGCTATATTTGCCATGGTGGGGAGAGGGAAAGGCAGACACATGTAGAAGATAGAGCTGGGAAGTAACAGCTGCTCTTTCATGTGAGCATCAAAATGCATTTTATTTGATTCTCTATAGCCAAAGCCCAGACTGATCCCAAACATACCAACATGAAGATGAACTGTAATAAAACCACCACAAATGCCCCATTTTCTCTACTTAAACAGATATGTTAACAATGGGGGACTGGTTTCATGTTGTATACACAAGTATTGAAATTATCAGAATGGAAAGGACCCAGGCAATTGGACTGGAATAACATGTACTGAAAAATGCACTTTTTTCAGATAGAAAAGTATCTGGAAAAGGAACAGAAATCTGCAAAATATCTCTTGGACCGTTATACAAATTAATTCACACATGTATCTCAGTCTGAAAGCTCATGCAGCTTTCTATTGCAGGAGCTCAATATGGGAACAAAAATAGTATTTGCTGCCACTGTATGCTTAATTACTGAAACAAAGGTGCTACAGTTTGATCCTTAGATCATGGTGGGCTTGCCACTGGGAACTCAAGTTACTACTTGTGACTCTGGCTTGTTGGATTCTAACACACTTTCTCAATTAAGCTGTTCATGTCCCAGATTGAATGACAATTCATAGTTACTGCAAATTCTTTTTCACCCAGGCTGTGA